TTTAATGACTTACTGAGATATTTGCAACGTTAGCCATGGAAAAATGACCTTGTTACCATAAATACCTGGAAGAACAAAATTGTTCTAGTTGATCACTTGTGAAAAAAAAAATAGCAGGCAAGTAGTATTTCATCACACAGGAACATGCTATTTCTCTTTGAAATTAGCCGTGTTCTTATTTTCTATGGTAAAGGCTTTTCTAGAATTTGGTCTTTGGTAATAAAATTTACCATTGTTTGTTTCCTAGTGAACATGAGCAGTATCTGACACCGTGTAACCCTGCTTGTTCAGAAGTTGGCCTGAGCATACATTAAAATGCCTTCTTTTAATAGGGCCTGATTTTGAAAAGATTTCTACTTTTTACACTTATTTTTTCTGTAATTAGTAATGTAATTAATTTCTCTTCAGTGAAATTTAATTAAGTTCATGGATAAATCTTTGTAGGATTTGCTTAATAGAAAATTTTCTTTTTTGTAGATTATTCCCACAGAATTTAGTGGAGACAAGAAGTGCTTTAAAACTTTACAAAATGTTTTCTATAGAAATTATCCACCAAGCCAGCAGAATTTGGGAGTTTTATAACCTCTCCTGAATGTTCTTAATAGAGGATCTTTTTTTCTGTACAGCAAAGCTGTATATTCATTTCATCATATAGATCAGATTCTTCAGGGTTTTCCCAGAGAGAAATTTAGATTTATAAATATTCATCACAAGAAGAGACTGAAAAACTTCCATTGCTCTACCTGTAAGAGCCTTTCTATGAGGCATGCCAGACCTCTCATAGCAACATTGCCTGTGGAAGTTGTCTTCTTGGCACGCAGCAATGGTTAGTGGATTTCAGGAGGCATGGTCAGACCTTTGTTTTTCTAGACACACTGGAGATGATCTGGGCTACAGCGTTTGCTAAGTTGGGACTGCTGGGAAGGGGAATCACAGGGCAGTGTCCCTTGGTCACAGCTCTGAGATTCTCTCACGGGATCTATTGCTTATGTACAGAAAGAGGCAGTAACATGAAACCGAGGCAACGTGTGAGGAGATGTTGAGCAGGTCACAACTATGGAGATTTGTAGACTCCAAGCACTCTTTATTCCCTTTCTCCCCATCCACCCCAGTCCTCACTATCAGCATCTTATCTTTTAGCACCTCTCAGACTCCAGCACTGGAGGTCTGAATGGTGCTGCCAAAACTCCAATCCTTGGCCTCCAAATGCTCCATCACCCTCTCTGGGCACAACCACACTCTTCAATTTTAATTCTACTAAACTACCTCACTGCGGGCATCAAGGATACTAATGCTTCTCTGTTCGAAGTTCCTTAGTCCTGGTAGACAGCACTAATCTGTATCATGGACTAGATCTCAGACATGGAAGGAAATTAATATACACAAGAAAAGAAAACTTGTCCTCTCTTTTCTTCATTATGTTTACCTGGACCTGGGTGCTCTCTGAGGGTTTCAGACAAGGAGAGTTGCTTTCCTCCTGGGAGGGCTTCTCCACCTGTCCATGTTGGACATGTCTGCTGTGTTAGTCTCATCTCTTTGAAAGGTTCTTTAGCACAGAAATGCTGACATTGAGGCATTGAAAAAACTAACCTGAGACATAGAATCATAGAATCATAGAATCGTTAGGGTTGGAAAGGACCTTAAGATCATCAAGTTCCACCCCCCCTGCCACGGGCAGGGACGCTTCACACTAAACCATATCACCCAAGGCTCTGTCCAACCTGGTCTTGAACACTGCCACAGAGGGAGCATTCACAACCTCCCTGGGAAACCTATTCCAGTTCCTCACTTTCCTCACTAAGAATTTCCTCCTTATATCCAATCTATACTTTCCCTGTTTAAGTTTTATGCACCTTTCTAACCTGAAGCTTGCAGCACAGAAGCAGTGAGAGTACACAGTATATTTTCTTATTTTATAATTAAAAAGAGGAGTTTCTCTTCACAGGGAGCAGAGGGTGAGAGAAACAAGGAGGGTGTTTAAGTGCCAGGTGACATTGTCCATCACACTTCTCAGTGATGAAGCTAAGAAGACAAAAATAGACAAAGTGACCTCATGGCTTTCAGCAGCAATGCCTAAGAGACAAAAGAGAGGCTTTAAAAGGCTTGTGGAGCTGATAGCAAAGGGCTTGGACACCTCAGAGTTTTGGTTCTGCTCCAGCAGGGAACTGCTTTGCTACTCTCTCATTGCCTCTCTGTTTATGGGGAGTTGTGAATTTAACGGGCTTTGTGACATGCCCAGCTCTCCAGGTCTGGACTCTGCCTTCTCAAGCTTGGATCAGCCTTATGCAGGTACAGATGTCTCCTCTATTTTCTGTTTGTTTTTTTTTTTTAATTTTATTTGTTCTCTTCTATCTTCTTACTTCCTTTCTTCCTCCTTTCCTCTCATTTTTCTTTTCCTATCCTTCCCCTATTTTGCCTATTCTGATCTCGCTCTTCACCTTCAGCAAGCCATCTCAGGAGGATTTCTCTTTCTTTTTATTCTTGAACTGTTGTGGGAAATTGTAGCTTGAATAGCATGATCATTTTTTCTGTTGGAAGGATTGGTGTAGTTAGTCATGTGCTTTAGCCTTTGATGAGGAGGAAAGCAGGAAGAAGAGAAGAGGGAGGTGAGTAGCAGGTCCCAGTGGGCCTTACTTGCCAGTTGATTCAGAGCACAGGGCAGTTCAGAGCAATTTTCTAGGGAAGTTGTACATGGATGCTAATGCTGAGCCAGTACCAAGAGCTGTTGGAGGCATAGCCAAGGCTTTCTACTGTTCTGTTTTCTCTGACAGTATTTGCTAGCCCAGACTCTGGACTTGAGTGCTTTCATACTACTCTGCTGTCAGAAGGGGCTACGCAGACACTCATTTTGTATGGTGTTAGCCTCTCATGCCAGAAATCCTCCTGTGAGTCACCTGGAGTCCAGAGTGACTAAGTGACTTAGTTGACTAAAATTCTGTAGTGCTGCTCTTCCTCCTTGCAAGTTTAGAAGCAAAATCTGAGCTAAGTGAGGTGTAGTCATAAGGATGTCGTAAGGATTTCTTTCTTGTAGCAAGAAAGAAGTCTCTCTTATTTCTCCATTGTGAGCAGCCCCCACAGACACATGCATGCAGATTCGTAAGTGAAGTAGACAGATCTTCAGGGGCTGTAGTTTTGATCATGGAGAGCAGGTGTTTGAGGGCAAGTCTACAACTGCCCTGAAGAGCGCTAAGTCTCCACAAAACCCTGGACACTACTTCAGTCTTGGTTCAGCATTCTGTAAGGAAAGTTTTGCAGAGAGCCTTCACTATGCAAGTTCAAAGCAAGCCATATTTTCAGTATTGATTATACTGCTTCCAGTTTTCTGGGTGCAAAGGAGAGGAATGGACTGTGCAAATATGAGGTGATCTCAAATCTCAGAAGTCCCCTTGTTGAAATCCCAAAGCAGCAGCATGTGCTACAGGGTGGCTGCAGACCTTGAGAAGAGCCTTTCTATGTATTCATCTTAAGCTTCCTGGAAGGATGACTGTTCTGAAAATGAACACCTTATTTTCACCATGGGGTGAGAGAGGGAAGCTTTTTCTGCTGTGGTTACACTGGTGAAGACTGGAATGAAGACGCTTCCCACACTTGTGCAGCCTAGCCAGGTTTTGGGGGACATCTGCAGTCCTCAGGAAAACTAGTATCCTTCTTCACTAAGCTCCCTGTCCCCCACCTCAGGTAACTTTGTCACGTTAGCAGGTCCCCACTGAATGAATGCTTTGTGATAAAATGGTCAGAAGTGAGATCCTGAGAGGACTGAGCAGCTTCCATCCTCTCTTGAGCTAACACTATCCCCCAGCAGTACCTGCAGCTTCTCTGCTCTCCTCTCCACTTCAGCAGGGCATAATTTTGCACCTCTTTTGTGAGAATGTCAGGGCTGGAGAAGATGCTACACAGTTTTTTTGACAAATTATTAGATCTAAGCAGTGGATGGATGTTTCATCTGGACTATCATGTTGATAAAGAGGCAATAGGAGTAAGGAAAAGGATGAAATGAAAGAAATCAGAAATTAGTCTATGGTTTAGGTATGTGAGGGTTTTCTGTGCAGGGTTAGTGCTGATTTCTGTCACTTAAACCCTGATTTAAGGCATGTCTGTACTTCCCTTAGGGCAGAGAAGTTTGGTTTTATTACAGAATCTTGTTCACCCCGTTTTCCCCACACACTAGGCAGAGAACATAGTGTTCCCCCTGGGGCTTTACTGACCACTGGGCTGGCAGAGCAGGTGGTATAAATGATTATCCCACACTTTCATGCCAGTATTCCAACAGGTGTTGGTTTTTCCAAGCAAGCTTCTCTAAGTGGATTCCTTCTGGCCTGGCTGATCAGTTATGGGGTCTGGGATTCTTGCTTAACAGCAAATGCTTTTCTTCCTTGCTGGGCACGGGGCACAGGCAAGGAATGATAGCCAAGGGTGAAAACAAGTCTCCTACTGTTGCAAGGCTGCTGCAGAGAGCAGTGAATGCTGCTGCAAGGCACTCTCACTCTGTAACTGACACTGCAGGGCCTAGAGCAGGAGCAGCCTGTCTTTGCCTGCAGGGCACCTCTCCTGTTGCACACATGTATGGGTGCTAACAGCAGGAGCTGCTGCTTTCCAGACTCTCAGGACCAGAGAGACTACTTACTCATGAGAATACCTCATGTGGTAGGAGTAAAGTCTACTAAAAGCAGGGCTGTGCTTTCAGGGTGATAAGTAAATGGTAAAAATTCCCAGGAGTAAGGGCATTCAACTGTAAAATGCCCTGGGACAATTGGCCACATGCTGCTGAAAGGAAATCCCAGGTCTGACCAGAAAACAGGCTGTCAGAGGGGGGAAGTTCCCTCTCCACACCTGCATGGACTCCTACTGTGTTTGGAGGGAAAAAGAAAGATGCAAAGGTAGGAAAGAAAAAAGGGCAGGGGGTGACAGTGTGTTTCCTCCTATGTGCACTAGAATAGCCACATCAGTGTTCATGCAGCCCTTCGCTGAGCTCTGAGCTTTCCTCTTTTTTTGTCTTGCAGAGCTCCACCGCCACGAGAGCATCCAAGAGAAGAACGTGAAAGAAGCCAAAACCAAGTGCAGAACCATTGCATCCCTGCTGACAGATGCACCCAACCCCCACTCCAAGGGGGTGTTAATGTTCAAGAAGCGCAGGCAGAGGGCTAAGAAATATACATTGGTAAGCTTTGGGAGCGTTGACGAAGACCGCTCCTACGAGGAGGAGGACGGAGTTTTTCCCACAAGTGAGTCTGAATTTGACGAGGAAGGTTTCTCTGATGCCCGAAGCCTAACTAATCACTCAGACTGGGACAATACTTACTTGGACATTGAAAAGTCCAAGTCTGACTCTGAACAACAGGAAGAGAAGCAAAAGGGTTTGAGTGAGGCCTCAGGTAAAGGAGCTCGATTATTTGAACAGCAGAGGGAACGGGCTGGGAGGTACACAGTTGAGAAAGTCCCTGCACAGATTAGCCCCCAGCTTACCCCAGCTGCCCAGCCGCAGCAGGGCACGGTGAACGGAAATATGCCTGTGCCACAGAAGACAGACAGCGTGCCCATCAGCATCCACCTGGAAGGTGTGCAAGTGCCCAGCAAGCAGCCAGCCACCCTCCCAACCCAGATCCTGGCTCCCCCTAGCCCCACTTTCTTCCCACCTCCCCCAAGCACCCCTGACCCCTTCTCTGCAAGCTCAAGCATGTTCAACAGGTCTGCACGGCCCTTTACTCCTGGCTTTTCTGGTCAACGGCCTGCAACATCCTCTGTCGTCTTCAGGCCATCTGCACCCAAAAAACCCAGTGAAAGTCTGAGTGGGCAAAGCACAGTGGATCCCCCGTTCTCACCTCTGTCTCCAGGAGCACCTGCCAATGCACCAGTGCCAGCACAGCGTGGTCCGGTCAGTTCCTCCACATCTCTGTATATTCCTGCACCAGGAAGGTCAACACCAGCAATGGAGTCACAACCGAGGGCTGGAGGAAGTGCTCCAGAAACTAAGCCTTCTACCAACACTGCCCGGACATCCACCACCTCTATCTTTCTGTCAACTCCCTCAAAGCCAGGAGGGGAGGTGGCCTCTACAGCATCCCAGCCACGAGTCCCTGGAACAGCCTCTTCTTCTTTGTATATTAGTCCAGCACCATCACAGCACACAATAAGCAGCTCCCCCACACCAAATCAGCCTTCTCCTGCCATCTCACCCGCAACGCCACGACCTCCTTCCGAGCCCTTAACCTCCAGAGAGCAGAGGATTTCTGTGCCGGCTCCCCGCACAGGCATCCTGCAGGAGGCTCGCCGACGCGGCAACAGAAAACCCATGTTCAGTAAGATTGAGGAGAAGAAGAAGAATTCACCCAACCCTGAACTCCTGTCTCTGGTGCAGAACCTGGATGAGAAGCTGAAAAGTGACCACCCTGGGGCAGGCTTCGAGTCTGGGCCTGAGGAGGACTTCCTCAGCCTGGGTGCTGAGGCATGCAACTTCATGCAGTCCTCTGGCCGCAAATTCAAGACCCCACCTCCAGTGGCTCCTAAACCTCAGCAGCAAGACGCTGGGCTGGTAAATGGGGCCCAGGACATGCCTCAGCTTAAAGGCAAGGGCGCAGAGCTCTTTGCCAAACGCCAGAGCCGCATGGACAAATATGTGGTAGAGACAACACCAAAGCCAGAGTCCAAGCCCAGGACCCCCTCTCCTTCCCCTTCACTGCCCTCATCCTGGAAATATTCACCCAACATCCGGGCTCCACCTCCAATAGCTTACAACCCAATGCATTCCCCTTTCTATCCCCTGGCAGCCAGCAAATCTCAGGCTAGCAAAGCAGAGAGCAAAGTGAAAAAGGCACCTGGCCAGAAATCAGGGATCAAGGTCATTGATTTAATGCGCCACCAGCCCTATCAATTAAAGTCAGCCATGTTCTGCTTTGGGGATCCCCCAGGCCCCAGCATTCAGGAGTCTCCTGGTCAGCCAGCCCCACAGGCTAGCTCATCCTTCACAGCAGCCAAGCAGATACCTGTGAAAACAGCCAAGACCCAGGAGATTCGTCGCTTCTCCACCCCAGCTCCCATGCCAGCCTCAAGCAGCATGGCACCCACTGTGCTTATGCCCCGCTCAGCCACCACGTTGGATGAGCCAGTGTGGAGAACAGAAATGGCCTCTTCTGCTCCCACTACACCAGCACCCTTCCAGGTAGAGCTTAGCCAGTTCCCTAAGCCATACCAGAGCTCCCCAGAGCCTGGTATGGCAGCCCAGGGGCCTTCCCCAAACCCAGCCTCAGCCTCTCGGTTTCAGGTGGCCAGGCCCAAATTCTCAGCTGCGAGAACAGGGATGCAGGCCAATGTGTGGAGGCCAAGCTTTGGCCACCACTGAGGCGGGCACCCGTCCCGTCCCATTCGTGGTCCCACAGAGATAGTGCTCGTTTTGTCTTTCATGTCAGCAAAGTGCATTGGGATGAGTGACACAAAATGAAGAAAAGATTTAAAAAAATAATTGCTCCACTTCTGCAGCAGCCTCTCCCTCAGCTTCCCCTTGGTCTCAGATGGGCAGCTTCATGGCAAGGCTTACTGACTGTGGCTACAGCAGGAGGAAGAATGCGGAGAGAGGGCACGTATGGGGTACACAGAGACTGGGAACTTGCACACAGCAGCAAAACCCACCTCTGGAGGGGGTGAATAGCAAGGGTTGTGAATATATAGGCAGTAGTTGTTTTCCTTTCCCTAGGGCACTGGAGTCACTCCTGAATGGAGGCAGACTGGGGGACAAGAGCTTTCCAGGAAGAAGGGGCCAGAGGTGGATTACAGCATGCAAGTCCTAGCTTCCCCATTGGACTGGATTTCTCTGAGCCAGCCATCTGTACACATGTACCTGTGCATGCACACACACATGCACACAGCAGTACTCAGCAAGGAGTGAAAGTAGAAGTGGGACTTGCCTTGGACACTTCTCCCAGACTCCCATCCAGAGGGGTGTGGGAAAGGAGGTGAGGGAGCAGAATGAGCGGCAGTTTGTGCACATGCACGTATGGGCAGCGTGCCCTGCGCAGGAGAGTGGCCATGTGTGCCTGTTCCTCCAGTCACCAGGGCTGGGGTAAAAGGCAGAGTCATCCTGGCTGGTGCTAAACATGGCTATCAGGTCTGGGAGCAGTTTGCCAAAGGGGGGTGTTGAATGGACTTAGGGGGGCTGTCACAAGCTGGAGGAACTGCAGAAGGAAGTATCAAACTTTGAGGACACACAAAGTCAAAGCTAAGCTCAGGCAACGGCTGGCTGGGGCAAAGAAGGCCCCGCAGCATTAGTCTCTCTGGAACAGGATATGGATGCTGTAAGTACAAAGGAGGACTGCGTGGGAGAAAATACAGTTAGCTTTAAAAGAAGTCAGGATTGAATATGCATTTGCACATCCTTTTGGGGATTTTTTTTTAGTTTAGGACAGAAGCGTGGTGAGATTAGAAATGGGTCACAACATAAAACTTGCTGAAAACTCTGTGATGAGCTGGAAAATGGAGCCCCTTTACGGATGCTCTCAGAATGAAAGTGGAGGAAGGGAAATAGAAAGTTACAAGTAGAATTTCATACTAAATTATTTAAGTATCTTTGGGGCCTATCTTGGAAAGAACTGAAGTGCTCTGAGATTCCAGAGTGAATCTGCATTCACACACACATACAGAGCTCAGTTTGCTGACAATGCTGGGAAAACAGGTCTGGTTATTCTTTGAATGGCCCAGGCTAGCCTCAAACTTAATCCCTGTGTTAAAGGCATACAGGGAGAAAGCATTTCTTTTCCCAAGGAAGAATTCAGGATATTAGTAGGGACTGTGCATGTGTGTGTGCATGTCATCTATGCTCTGATTTGCACACACCCTGTCATTTGCTTTCTGCCTGTGCTCCCCCTTTTGCAGCAGACACTTTTACAGTGTGATCCCACAGGTACACTAAGAAATCATTACTCCTGAAGCCGTGGCTCCCAAATACAGCAGATATCCCAGCTGCAGGGATGGCACTTGCCAACTCTTTCTGGGTAGGGGTTGCCCAGCCTTTTGCTAGACCATCAGGAATGAATACTGAGGCAGGATGAGGGATTCATAGCCCTGCTTGAGACATATCTCCGTGTCATTAGACTTGCTCCTACCCTTCAAGGAGAAGCCGTTTTCTGACTGGACTCAGCACAAACTTTGGATGTACAAAACTGTAGGTTCTGGGGACAAAAATATCAGTGCAGCTGGGTCTGATGCCAAGTCTTTAAGCAGTGCAGCTTGTGTGGTTTCACACAAAGTCCAAACCAACCTTCCTTCATGCAGCTGGAGCTCATGGTGTGTTCTTTCTGTGAAAGCTGGGGGCTCTGCTTTTTCTTGGAGGGTCTGAAGTGTTTCTCTGTGAGCACCTGGAGGTTTTGCACATGTTCTCCCATGAAGAAAAAGAGGGCTGGATAACCCAGCTAGCCACTCTAGTCCCAGACAAGCCTGGAAGGGAGAGAATGAGAGGAAAGGAAAAGTAATACATAATCCTGCTTTTGAATCCTTCACACTGTGGCTGGGCTTGTTCTGCAGGCCTGTGTTTGCAGTGCACATTCCTGGGTGGCCTGAAACATAGGACAAGCATGCTGGGGAGGGAGGAGGACAGCACTTATTGGCTCTCCTCATGGGAGAGGATGGAGAGAAAACCTTTGGGAATGCCTTGAGTTAATGAACAAGGGGGTGGCTGATCCAGAAGAGGTGCTACACCTGGTTGTATGACATAGGAACAGCCAACATGAACTGCTGATGGTATGTGTTCCTGGAAAGCAAGTCACTGCAGAGTTAGTTCAGATCACCAGAAGCTACTTAGTCTGTTGAAAGTGAGCAGCCATGCTGCAAAATCTAACTTGGACAATTGCTCTCTCACTCATCCTGTGCTGCATTGCATAGCCAGCATTTAGAGAAAAAAATTCCTGTGTGCTGTATCAAGCTGAATCTCTGCAATTCTTCACAAATGTGTAAAGAGGGGTCTTCTGTTTTCTAGAAAAGCTGTGGGAAGGAAAAGCTTCATCTCTAGTCTCCTCATGGAGCGTTGTCTCTAACTGGCTAGTAGTTTTAGCCACTAGCCTTAGACAGACAAGCTAGCCCAGGTTGAAAGCATTACTGAACTCAGGTGTGGATAGGGGTTGTGTGGACCAGAGAAAGGTTGCTCAAGATGTTTCTGCAGTGAAGAAATAACCTCAGAAAGTCTGAATCTTCCTCCAGTTTCCTTTTTCCTCAGGCCCCTAAAAGTAACTGCTCTCAGAGCCTGAGTGGCTCAGGAAAGTAATTGTGTACTGGAAATAAAAGAGAGGTCTGGCCTTGTCATGTAAGGAGATTGCATGGGGTTAGTAGTTCAGTGGTCCCACTCCAGGTTTCTAGGCGACATTGATGCAAGCCAAGGAGTGATGGCCAAACACTGTTGAATGTTAGATGTCAGGACCTAAGTGAGTGGAATAACAGCATTTGCCCCATCGTTTCTGATAATATAATGGGCAGCAGAGATGAAAAATATTAGGCCTGTTTGGAGAATGAATATTAAACATCAGAGCAAGGAAAAGAACAAGGAGACTGGGGATCCTGCGTTTCATGTCTAACATGCTTGGTTTACAGCTATGTTTAGAAGCAAAGCCAAAGTAGTTCGGTGGATCTCAGCGCCTCCTGATCTTTTCTGAATCCTATGCTGACACAAGAGTTGATCTGCAGAAGCAGAGGGTGTTGCAGATGAGGCCTACAGTGCTTGTGGCATATCCCAAATAAGGTCTGTGGCTGCAAGTAGCATGAGATGAGAAAAGATACTGAGATGCATCTGCTAAGCTATAAGGAAGAAACCTGCACTACTGCTGACTTCAAGCAGCTTTGCTGGTGGATGCTCATGAGAATACTGTGGCTAGCCTGTAAGAAAGGTCACAGGTAAGGTTACAAGGAATATTTTTGAACCATATAAGCTTGTCTTGAGCATCTCCAAATTTCTAATTCCTCAGTTGTTGTAGAAAAGTGGTATTAAAAAAGGAAAGACTTAGCTCTGAATGCAGGCATCAGCCTAACAGTCATAGAACAAATAAGGCACGTGAGCACAGCTCTGAGGCTTTCCAATGTGTATGCACGTCTATATATGTAAATATACATATGAATATACACACACGTGCATATGTCTCAGCCTAAACACAATGTGCTTTGCAGGAAAGCACGTATCTGCAGGACTTCATAATCCTACCAAATTCCTTTTCACAGTTGCACAGCCCTTTTGCACAGGCTGCTATTTTCATAGTTGTGTACTGCTAATCCTATTGTAACAATTACTTGGACTATGTGGCCATGAATGCCAAACAGTTTTCCTGGCCAACATCTGCTCAAAAGGCTTATTTTTTGAACTTATGCTCAGATATGACTTGATCGGTTTCTGAAATATACAGTATGCGGACAGTTACAGGTGTTCTGTCAGACCACTGCCATGTCCCTCCAGAAAGCAGGTTTCTCTTATTAAATCCAATCCAGAACTGTCTTTCTTCTGTCCTATGATGGAAACAAAGAAAAATGTCATTTCTTATGCACTTTTTCCTTCACTAAATCAGGAATTACTGTTTAAATAGTGCAAACACCTATAGTCATTTCTTCTTGAATTCAATGGATCATTCTGCAATATATTTCCTAACATTTTAGTACCCTCAAAGTAAACTCTGGTTTTCCTACCGAAATGTTGAATTATATTTTAAAAGATGAAAACATTTAAACCAGGATTAAAATTGCCAAACCTCCATTTCAATGGGGAATGTTAGCTCACAAGAACATCACCTTGACATTTACAGTTGCTCAACAGTTACTGTAAAGATCATCTTCAAAAAGAATCACACTGCAGTATTGCTAATATATTTTTCACCCATTTCCAAGTTCATGCTAGAGTAGAGACTTCTTCAGCCACTGGTAAAGAGGATGGAAGAATCAAAGTTGTGGATTATTTTTACATATTACTATTATCAAGATAAATATTATTGGTGTTAAAAATACAGATTTACCTATCAAAAATTGTATATAATAAATTGTTTAAAAATATCTCTTCATAGATATTGCTAAAACTAGCAAGATGCGCTCCAAAATCTTGGCATAACGCTTCTGCTTCATCCCATGTTCTTCTCATCAGAACTTTTTCATTGTGAAATATCTGCAATAAAATAAACACTGTCATAAATGCTGTTGATTTTGGAGAGCAATTGTTTCAGAAACCCATAAAAATCAAATATTGTTCACAGGTTTTCCTACACCAAAGCCATATGAATTCCAAATCTAGTTCTGATTCTCAGGACTTTCATTCACTTTCCAAAGCAGCGATGGATGGTAACTGTTAATTTTTGTTTGCTGGCTGAAAGAAATAACGCTTTCCCAAAAATGTTTTAGGAACAGACTATCCCTAAGCTGGCATGTAGCTTCAGAAAAATCCAAAGCAAGTTTGTCACATACCTTGTAGCAGCTGAGCAGATGAGCTTCCGACTCCCATCCAAAATAGCAGGAACTCAAATGCTTTTGAAAAGTAAGTTCAGGTTCTTCGTAAGAGTTGATTTTTTGCTTGCACAATGACATTGCTTTGAAGTTCTCACAGCTTTTCACCTCCCAGTAACCAATGGGCTCCTGCCCTCGTATAGCCACACATCCTCCAGAATGGCCTAGAGATGGGAATAAGTGTTGAGTCTCAGAATAAAGCATTTGAAGTTTGCGAATTTTTGGTGAAGTAACTGTTTTATTGACATTGGGTTCTGGATAAATCCTCGATGAACCTATGAAAGTAGCAAATGGCTTCATCAGCAAGCAGTCTGTAAGATTGTCTCGGCTGACGAGTTTGTAAATGAAAAATGATGAAGGGTTCTGCTCACAAAATATAGGAGATGAAATGTAATTTCAGATAGTACTTTTGCAAACTTCTATAGTAAAGCAATAAATTATGAGTCCAAAAATGAGAAGCAATTAATGAAATGGAGTGTCTTCATTATTATATGTCTCTATTCTCAGGTACTGCTAAGAGGTTTATGTTTCAAAGGCTGAACAACTACTTCACTTTTTCATTTTTTGTATTCTTGGTACATTTTCTTGGATTACTATAAAAGACACAAAATCAAACAAGCTGTCCTGGTTTTGGCTGGGATAAAGTTAATTTTCTTTCCAGTATCTGGTACAGTGCTGAGTCTTGGATTTAGTGAGAGAATATTGGTGATAATACAACAGTTGTTGCTAAGTAGGGCTTACTCTAAATCAAGTTTTTCATGCAAAAAGCAAACCAGCTATCAGCAAACTAAAGGAGAAGAAGAAGCCATTAGTTACTAAGAACTCATATAAAATGCATACATAGAAACATCTATAAAACATTAATTTAGATTAAAAGATGTAAGTTTTAGTTATAAAAATCAAATCTATTTTAATTTTTCAGTATAGTTTCCAAGTACACTAATAGCTCAATGTTTCATTAAGGACTTGCTCTGTCTGGTTATCAGCAGTTCCTATACATAAGAAAGAAATCCAGTGACTAAGTGGTTAAACACTGGAATACGTTCAGAACTTCCAGTTTGTCTGTAATGAACAGAAAAACCTGTTTGAATTCCCATGGAGGAAAAAACCCCAAAAAACTAAATCTTAGTAGATTATGCTAATAATTATAGTTAGAAGTAACTATCAAAATATCAGTAACACCTTAGAAAAATATATAAAAGAAAAAATGAATAAGGGTTATTTTTATATATATTTTTTTCAGTTTAGGTTCATATCTTCTTATATTTGCTATTTTTTTTACTAACTACAAAATTATGTTAAGAATTCTATTCATTGAATTAAAACTATATTCTATAATTTTAATTAAATACATGAATGGGAGAGAGCAACTGCTCTCCGTTGCAATACAGCGACAGCTAAACTTGACTCATTTATCTCTGTGGAGCCTGTAGACTTATGCTTATGTGAATCTAATGGGCTATGAAACTTGTCTATGCAGATCTTAGCACAGCACAGTCCCAGAATTCCTTATTGACATCCATGAATATAGTGGGAATTGATTTTACCTCCACATGTGCTTAACTAATTGCAGAAAATCCACCTTGCATAAGGAGAGGTATAATTCACTGTTCATGCTCTAAGCGTTGAGCGCTATTACAGTTATCAGCCTCATACTTGAAGGCATGCAGCTCAGGGATGCATAGCAACTGCAGTTAATAAAAGATGCAATCATTCCCATGGATTGCAAATTAAAGCATGTAAACCTAGTAACTCCAGAAAAATTTATACTTGACCAAAAATAAATTGGCTCTCTAAAAAGGAGAGATGCCCTGACATTTAAAATACCTCAAACAGAAAAAGATTTGTGGGGAAGGGCACAGTCATGCTATAAATAACAACATATAAATGATTGCTTGACTGACAAGGCCCTTTTCCAAAATACAGGAAGACAGAAACATAGTATTAATTTGACAATTACAGCTTTCAATAGATCAGAAAAGTGACAAGGCTGAAACACAATGTTTCGAGTGGTTTGTCTCTTGCTGCTAAATGCTTTCACTTGGTAAACAGCTACAAAATAGAACCATGGAACTAAGGGTGCCATCACACATCATAGGGTACCAAATTGGAAACAAAGTAGTGATGGATGTGTCCATTTCTGAAAGAAGTAATTGCCAATGATTCATATCTCAAGAAGTTGTGCAAATCATAGTCATGCTAAGATTTCCAAGGAACATGAATCATCTTTTTCCCTAGGATAAAGTCCAATGCAACCTGGACTCTCTCACAGCTGTCCCTGTAACTTGTTGAAGTCCCTTCCAATGTGACTTGTACTTAGATCCCTCATACAAGGACATCAGACCAGACCATACCAGGGCACATTCTCTGGCAGTCCTAAAACATTTCTCATTACGTCTTTTACAGCTGTGGCAGGGAAGAAGTGTTTAGTATTTTAGTCAGCCTAGACTAATAATATATTGTTCTACACATATATATTGTCAACCTCCTATTCATAAAAATATCCCCTTTTCGAACTTTTATGACCACAACTCTTCCATCCAGACTTCCAGTCTGGACACTTAGAACTTCAGAAGTATTTGGCACTGAAATCAAGAAGATTTTTTTGTGTTAGGGGTGAGAAAATCTCCTTGGCTATTTGAGATTGAAGAACAGGGGCATATTCTTCAGTGTTTTGCACAGCTGTTGTTTTGTTTTGTTTTTAGGAAACAAATTATAATTGTAGCCATAATCAATAAATTTCAGCCACCACTTCTGTTTGCTCTTTGATAACTGTGGAAACAAAGAACAAACACTCCAGTACCTTACAACCCGTAAGAAAAGAGGTCCAGTCTCTACCAAGAATAAATGTCAAAATTAGTTTTCATTTAAAATGCTCCTAAAATGTTCAGGAATTACTATTCCTCAGCAACACAAAGGGATACTGCTCAAGACAAGTAGGTGGACCCCTGTACCTACCATAAGAAACAGCTCATACTTTCCACTGTGCTGCAGAAAGCTCCAGGAAATCTTGCAGCACTGTTTTAAGCATGTGCTAGATACATCAATCCCACAAAATTCTTTGCAGGAACTCTACCAGACAACCAGGACATAGCTTCAAGCTGCCTAAAGCTGATGTGGTTCCACAGGATCTTCCTTCCTTCCTCAAAGAATAATCCTTTTCTTCCAGCAGATATCCTAACAACAAATAGGTCATGAAAAGGCTAGAGGTGTAGCAGGTCAAATCCCTGATTTCTCCTGCCTTGGAATTTTTCCTTCCAGACAACTTCTTGTTGGGAGAAATTTCATAAAGAGAGCTTGCAGGCTGCTGATTTCACAAAGCATTGTCTTGTAAGCAGCAGTGCTGAAGAAAGGTGGCAACAGAGTTGCTTAAAAGAATGTACATTCATGCTATGAACACTACAAAACCCTTTCAGTAAAGGCTATCAGACCATCATGCATTTCTAATTAAATCCTCTCATCAGGTGAAAAAATGATATGCTGTCCCATGCATAAAACTAAGAGCTGGCACAATTGTTAGTGAAGTGTTTGTAGACAATGGGATGCTTACATGGTGGTGGTAATGCCACACCAGAACACAGTGTTTGCAAAAACTTATTTTGCAAAAAATTAGCAGATACAACTGTAACATTTCAACTATAACTCTCCATGCTAGCCTAGCTTGTGAGGCTATTAGGTAAAGGGCTTAAGACCAGCCTACACAGGGAAGTCTCTTCTTGCAGTGTTGTTTCTTTAGTGGTTTTTTGTAGCACACAGGATCTCACCAATGCTTATTATTGCAATTTGTTACCCAAAATTATTCTCATGTCTGCTCAAAAGAAGAAACCAAAAAGAAGAAATCTTTCTTATTCAAGCTTATTTCTTACAATCAATTCATTCTTGGTGACCTCTCCAGTAAGGAGAATTTTTTATCATTTAGTGAAAGAAAATATCTATACCTAACAAGTAGGTGAAGAAGGTTACTATATTCACAGTGTCCCCTTCAAACTGCTCTCCTCTTGTTAAATAGCAGTTACTAGATCAGTTTTGAGTCTGAGTACCTGTTATTGGGGTTGGGGTGGACAACTCACAATTTGAGACAAATCAGTCACAGTGAGAAACATGATTTCTGAGCAGTCTGACATATCAAGGAGATGAACTGATAAAGCCTCCCCTCTGTTATGGCATTGAAGACATCTTGTTCTCTCCACCAGCTCTCAGATGTTTCCTGCTACTAGAGGGGCTTCTCTCTACAGCTACCTGACAGGAGGTTGTAGTGAGGTGGGGGTCAGTCTCTTCTCCCAAGTAACAAGTGATAGGACAAGAGATAATGGCGTCAACCTGCACCAGAGGAGGTTTAGACTGGATGTTAGAAAAACTTCTTCACCAAAAGTGTGGTCAGGCCTTGGAACAGGCTGCCCAGGGCAGTGGTGAAAGCACTGTCCCTGGAAGTGTTCAAAAACTGTATAGATGAGGCCCTCAGCACTATGGTTTAGTGGTGTACTTGGCAGTCCTAAAGGAAAGGTTGGACTTGATGATCTTAATGGTCTTTTCCAATCTAGTTGTTTCTATGATTCTACTATATTTCTGTTAAAATATTTTAAGGCAATAGAGACAGAAATCAGGTCAACCTTATTAAAGATATGTTTTTAATTGGAAATCTGCCTGGATGGCAGCTCTTAAATGAACAATCTTCTTTCGTGTTATTCATCTGTTGAAGGACCTGCCATATTTTAATTAAAATATTTATCAATTTACTTTCAATGCAGTCCAAGCTGAAACAAATTAGGACATGACATTTCCTGGTTAAAAGTTAACTTACGGGTCTATCATCACTCCATTGCCAGGTTCCCAGAGAATCTGGACTCCTCTTATCCATTCCAATCCATACCCATCTGTCATTTCTGCATATAAACAAGAAAAAATCTTAAGCCAAGTATATGCTTCAGCTCATTTAACAGAAAGACTGACCTATCTCACAGCATTATTTAGGATCAAGCAGCAAAACCAAAGGTTTACTACTACAAGCTGCAGCAGTTCAAAGAAAATATGGGCGTTAATGGCTAGGACCT